CAGCAGAAACTGCAGCAGCAGAAACTGCAGCAGCAGAAACTGCAGCAGCAGAAACTGCAGCAGCCGAAACTGCAGCAGCAGAAACTGCAGCAGCGCAAACTGCAACAGCAGCGGAAACTGCAGCAGCAGAAACTGCAGCAGCAGAAACTGCAGCAGCAGAAACTGCAGCAGCGGCGGAAACTGCAGCAGCAGAAACTGCAGCGGCAGCAGAAACTGAAGCAGCAGCAGAAACTGCAGCGGCAGCAGAAACTGCAGCAGCAGCAGAAACTGCAGCAGCAGCAACTGCAGGAGCAGCAGAAACTGCAGCAGCAGAAACTGCGACAGCAGCTACTGCACCAGCAGAAACTGCAGCAGCGCAAACTGCAGCAGCAGAAACTGCAGCAGCGCAAACTGCAGCAGCAGAAACTGCAACAACGGGAACAGCAACTGCAGCAGCGGAAAGTGCAATAGAAGGCGCAGCAGCTGAGACTGCAGCAGCCGAAGCTGCAGCAGCGAAAACTGCGGCAGCAGGAAACGCAGCAACAGAAAACGCAGCAGCAGCGAAAACTGCAGCAGCAGCAGAAAGCGCAGCATCAGGAACTGCAGCAGCAGCGGCATCTGCAGCAGCAGCAGCAAATACTGCGGCAACGCCTGGTGAGACACCGCAAGCTGCTGCCTCACCAAGAGAGCAGCAGGAAGAGCAGCCTCTGCTGCAGCCTCAGCTGCAGCAAGAACAGCAGCAGCAGAAGCAACAAGCGCCGCCACAGAAGCCGCAACAAAATGAGCAGCAGCAGCAGCAGCAGAAGCTGCCTCACGAACAGGAAGCGGCTGAACAGGGCGAGCAGCAGCAGCAGCAACAGCAGCAGCAGCAGCAGCAGAAGCAGCAACAGGAACATGAGGCGGGCTCAACAAAATCTCAAGAAGAACAGCAGCAGCAACAGCAGCAGAAGGTGCAGCAGCAACGACAGAAGAGGGAGCAGCAGCAGCTGAAGCAGCAACAGGAACAAGAGCAACGGCGACAGGACCAGCAGCAGCAGCAGCAGCAGCAGCAGCAGCAGAAGGCGCCGCAGGCACAGGAGATGTCTCCACACGACGAGCAACAGCAGCAACAGCAACAGCAGAAGAAGCAGCAGAAGCCGCTACAGGACCAAGACGAGCAGCAGCAGCAACAGCAGCAGCAGCAGAAGCAGCAGCAGCAGAAACCGCCCCAGGAGCAGAATGCGCCACAACAAGGCGAACAGCAGCAGCAGCAACAGCGGCAGCAGCAGAAACAGCAACATCAAAAGCAGCAGCAGAAGCAGCAGCAAAAGCAGCAGCAGCAGAAGCAGCAGCAGCAGCAACACGAGCCTGCCAGGCAAAACCGCGAGCAGCAAAAGGAAGCAAAGCAGCAAAAGACTGCTGCAGAGGCATCTTCTGGAGCTGCTAGAACACATGAGGCTGCAGATGGCGTTGACGCGGCTGCTGCTGCTGCTGCTGCTGCTGACATACAGCAGCAGCAGCAAGTGCAGCAGCAGCAGCGACAGCAGCAGCGGAAGCGGCGAGACACTGGGGAGGCCAGAGGCAGCAGCAGCAGCAGCAGTAGCAGCAGCAGCAGCAGCAGCACCGTCGCACCCACGAAGCCGGCGGACAGCAAAAGGCCAGGAGCAGCAGCAGCAGCAGCAGCAGCAGCACCAGAACCAACAGTAGCAGCAGCAGCTTATAGAGCAACAACAGCAGCAAACAAGGTGTATACGCTGCAGGATATGATGCGGTTTGCGGTCAAGAGTAAGAGGCCCTATCACTCCGATGGATCTGCAAACGGCAGCAGCAGCAGCAGCAGCAGCAGCAGCAGCAGCAGCTCGGCAGAGGGCTTTAATAAAGCTGCAGACTCACCGGCAACAGAAGCAGCAGAGACAGAAGCAGAAAAATCGATAGAAGCAGCAGCAGCAGGAACAAGTGCAAGAGCAGCTACTGCGGAGGAGAGGGCCCCGCGCTCTGCTGCTGCTGCTGCTGCTGCTGCTGCTAGAGGCAAGGAAGCCAAAGGAAGTGATGGGCCGTTTTCATTTGCTGCAGCAGCATATGCAGCAAGAGAAGAGCACTTCCGCTCCTGCTTCTGCGAGTAAGTGCTGCTGCTGCTGCTGCTGCGTTTGCTGCTGCTCTTGCTGCTGCAGGCGTCCGAGGCGGTGTTGTTGTTGTAGTTGCTGCTGCGCGGATATGCTGCTGCTGCAGGGTATAGAAGTGTTTGTGGGGCGTGTGCTGCTTCAGGCCAGGCTTTCGTTTGATGCCGCGGCCAGCAGCAACGGGAGATGGAGCAGCAGCAACAACAGCAGCAGCAACAACAACAGCAGCAACAGCAACAGCAGCACCACCACCACCAGCAGCTCAATGCCAGACGCCCTCTGGGGGCATTTGGAAGCCTCGTCAGCCGCTAGCAAACCCAACAGGTCGACAGGGTATGTCTGCTGCTGCTGCTGCTGCTGCTGCTGCACGAAGCTGCTGCTGCTGCAGAGGGTAGTAGTTGCTGCTGCTGCAGAGGGTAGTAGCTGCTGCTGCTGCAGATGATAGTAGTTGCTGCTCCAGTAAGCAGCACCAGCTGCTGCTGCATGGAGCTGCTGCTGCAGAGGGTAATAGTTGCTGCTGCAGTAAGCAGCAGCAACTGCTGCTGACTAGATGTTGTATTTGCTGCTGCATATAAAATGCTCTTTTCTTGCTGGTTGTCTTTACTTCTTTTTAATATCTTTGTAATTTGTTTGTGTGTGTCTGTCTGTATGCTATGTGCGTGCTTCATTAACAGCAACAGCAGCAGCAGCACCAACATCAACAGGAGCAGCACCAGCAGCACCAGCAGCAGCAGAAGAGCAGACGCCGCAACAGCCAAGACGAAAGCAGCAGCGTCCAACGAGACCTCCGTTTGCTGCTGCTGCTGCGCTGCAGTTAGTTTAAGTTTTTAATATATTTGCTGCTTCTTTCTGTATTTCTTTATCTTTGTTATTCTTTTGTCTGTCTGTCTCTGCTGCTCTCTCTTTGCTTGACTCTCTTTGTGCCTCTCTCCCATATATATAATAAATAAATAAATATATATATATATATTGTATATATATTATATATATTATATATATATATATTTATATTTATATGTATAAACATCTATTTGTATAGATATCCACAACAGTACATGCATGTGCATGTATATATATATATCTATATATATATTGCTGCGGAAGATGATGATTATTTGCTTGATTAATTTAATTAATTTTATTAATTTTATTTAATTTGTCAAATTTTTTTTTGTTTATAGGAGCTGCACAACGCCCCCCGAGGCCCGCCCTGGGGTGTACGTACACCCCACTCAAAAGGTGATACTATAAAGAAATAAATAAATATAAATAAATATAAATAAATATATATATTGAATACTATTTATATATGAATATATATATATATATATATACTATATATAAGATAGTTTATATATTATTA